TTGGTGAACTTTCGGTCGGCGACTAACCGAAAGTGCTCCTACACTTTTCGTGTCTAACTCTAAGCTCTTTCCATCTCATTTGTGGCTGCTGTTCCATCCCTATTTACCGTAAGTATTAATGCAATCAACGCACGGAANTTCACTACCGGACACGTCCGAATGGTTTCTTTGCCACCTCCCTAGCAGCTACATCATTCAACGTTCTGCCGAGAACCTTCTGGTTTGCTGTGATTTGATTTTGCATTTTGCAAAAAATATGATGCTGTGAGGTCTCGTAAGCACCCAAGGTCCGATAGGAATAATGATTTTCTTATTACTTCGTGTTTCCGTCCATTTATTGAGTTGTGTCGTTTGGCATTGTCATTTTGATCCGCAAGTCCAAGCCTTTACCACGGCGTGTTCGCTCTAGTTCATACCTTTAACCTCTTTTTTCCCTGTGTGCATAAGGATGAGGAATGGCTGAGAGCCGCCGTAGTCCTCATTGCACTGTTCGTGCTTCGACCTCTTTTGCGAAAGACTCACTGTTTCGAAAACTTCAATTAGCTGTGTCTTCGTACGCCCCCTCTTTATAACTGCTGGATTCCACTACCCAACAGTTCAACTTATGTACCCTATGTACGTGGCGCGTCTTTCTGTTTTATGTGCAACATTGAAGTTTGCCACAACCTGAACTCTGAACTTCCGTGACATTCATTTTTTGGTTTTCCAACCTTCAAATCAGTCTATCATTCAAACATGTCACTTTTCTGAACGTTATGTTCCTCTTCCTGGCGCTGATTCCGGGTCCGGTATCTTCTCCCGAACATCGCGTCGCGCGCTGCACCCGCTGCGCATCGCAGAAATGCGATCTAAGGTAAGATGGGAGCACGCGATGTGTGAGTTAGGAAGTCCCCTTACCTATTTACATTTGCTGGCCACTTTCTTCAATCTTAATGCGGTCTTTTTCCTCAATAATAGAGAAGGAGCCATTTCGAACGATCAAACCTAATAAATATTGAAACAAAAAAGAAACAGAAAGAAACAATGAAAACCAAGTCAACAAAAATTATGCTGTCCTATCGATTGGCGAGGATGCGGGCCGAAGATTTGAGATAATTAGGAAAGATTTGTCGCATGCCGCAAAGTGAACGTGGGAAATCGGGGGAAGTTCCTACACCCGTTGATTCCGTGTGAAGATTGAATTCTTTCCAGCACTTCTTTCTATCACCTAAGGGCTTTGTTCTTACGGATTTAGTAGTTGTTGCTGTTACACTGCAGAATGTCTCAAGATTTTGCCTTTTGAAAGGCAACTCCTATGGTGACCAGTTGATCACTCCGCCTTTGCTTACGTCTCGGTAGGATTTCTTTTATCATATGCTGGATCTGTTGAGTGTTTATTTCGGGTCGCCGGTAATTTCAATGCAAAGTCACCAACCCTCTATGCAAATTATTGCAAAGCATCAAACCGTCTCCAAATTGTGGAGACGGTTTGATGCTTATTTGCTAAAGCTTCTTTTATGAACGCTCAAGTGATGCTTTCGTTCTCCCAATAAAATGTGCGGTCATTGAGTTACCACGAATATGCTGAAGGCAGGCTTGATCAGTAAGAACTCAATCCATGGGTTTGCAGGTGAAAGCGATGCCCACTTGTTATTCTGGGCTCTTACTTTATTATTAAGATCGGTGCTGATGATGACTAGGAGCACAAAAAACTGTTTTTTTTTTTGAAAACTAGCCCAGTATTCGACCGGTGTTGGACATGTTTTTTTAGAAAAACAGTTTTTGTGCTCTTAATCATCGTAGGGCTGAACCTGGGCTCGGAATGGCTGGAAGTCTTCCATGAGTACGTTGTTATATCAAAAGAAGGATCTGTGGATCGATCCGCAGACCATGCTTGTTTTAACAGTGCCTCCTACACTCCTCCAACTTCTTTTTATTGCGATTTATGTTACTGGATTGTCACAGATTGCTGTTCTGCTCGAACGAGAGTTCAAGTAGCTGCAGCTCCGAACACTCAAAGAGAATTTTGTCCTTTGATGAGACGCCTTCTATCGACATGTGAAAAAGTAAGGGTCCCACTTGTAGAATTTCAGGGAGTGTACATCTGTGTACCTTTCTGTTAGGAGTGACTACGATCAGTTTGAGGGCTTAAATATTCGCCACAGATTCTGTAAATCTGAGCGCCCACAATGTTGGTATTGATGGGTTGATGAGTCTGATACCCCGGGCCCGATGGATATGATATCTGCCGTCAGTAACTACTTAACTTGACCTGTCGCTCTCTCGTCTTTTCATCATGAATTTTGCTTCTCCATTGTTCCCATACCAATCTCCCATTGCTCGTTGTTTTATGTTAGCAGAAAAATCACAAGCGTCCAAACAAGATTTGACCCTATGAACTATTTCGCTCGTAACGGCGGCGCACTTTTTCCCAGTCTGGGAAACCATCTTGACTTTGCAGCGGAGCGATGTTGACGAGCGTCGAATACGGCTCGGGACAAACTGTTCTTAGGGTTGCGATTGGTGTTTTTCGCCCCTCAACCGAGGGCCTACTGCGCTTCGTGTTGGCTAAGCCTTTCACCCTCTTACCACTCCCCAACTGCTAGCGCTACGTATTTGAAATTGAGCTTTCTCGTGGAAGAGATAATGAAAAACACGTTCGTAATCTTGTGCTTGCGAGTGGTTTGATCGAGTACGAGTGGGTAGGAGACCCGCACGTATGTACATGCTGCCTGCCATTTTCCAGAGAGCGCTCTACCTCAACCTGCGTCCTTGTTATATTATACTTCCGAGAGATTGCCCCTTTCACCAACTCAAATAAACTGCTGTTGAAAGATGTACTCCTCTCTCCGTAACTGCTGATTGTTCCTTTACTCCTTTTCCCTTATCGCGATCATCTGGGCTGATACATTTTCTGGAGCTCGGATGTGAGAGCCAAATACTTCTATACCCACTGACTTTCTCAAACATCATTCGCATTTCTCAAATTAGAACAGCTTGTTGAAATGGGAACGCGCTTGTTGGATCTTCACGTTTCATTTCTACATATTCCTTCTTAAGAAGTGCCTCATGTGCTTGAACATTAAATCTCGAAATGGTGGGCGACCACCTAATTCAAGCACGATTTCCTACTGTATATAATTTGCTGGTGTCTGTCGGTGTTTCGATGTGTGTTTGATCGTAAAATCATAACTTCATAAATAGACTGCTCAAATTCGGAGGGTGTACAGGCGGTAGGTAGGAATATGATGGTAGGTACTGAAGGTTAAAGCATTAATAAGTACTGCGATTGGGTTGTTCCGCCATAACGTCCATTCAGAATCCTAGTGGCGACCTGAATGGGGATGAGTGTTACACCATGACTTGCGGTGGCCAGTGGATGTACAAAGCCATGCGAGAAAGGACAAAGACTTGATTGTCCTGTGTGGGCATCAGTACAGAATGCTGTCCTCGGACTATGTGATAGTGCTCCACTGGCCCCCACATCACCTTGTCCTGATGACATTTGATAGGGGCCTTGAAAGGCAAAGCCAATGGATTCTCACGCCCTTCGTGTTAGGAGTGGAACCATGGTACATTTTTGAACATATTGTTAGTGGAGGGCCGTAGATGGTTGGTGAAGAAAATGGTAAAAAGTGATAAGGGCTGACAGTCGGTTGCATCCTTGGGGTTACACTGGGAGGTTTGGAGTTCGGGATGGATGGTTATTGACAAGGACTGATAACAACTAAACCGGGACCGAAAACAGGCATCGAACTAGAGAACCCATCACTTTAACTCCTTTTTTCGATTTCGCAGCGGATCCTTGCTACTTCAAAATGTGATACACCCTGCGATTTTGTCGCAACCAAATGAGCAAGGGAAACGATAAGCTGGCAGCTGGCCTGTTAAGGTACTCTGGAGGAGATAAGGGTTTTGGCTTCTAATTCCTTTGGTATTCACGATGTAGTCACAACGCTAATTCCCGTAGTGAAAGTTGTGATGGTGAATTAAAGATAGGTTGATGGAAAAGAAAGGCAAGCGCAGGACCGAGAACAAAAGCTGTTCGAAGTCAGTGCCAATGTAGAGAACGGGACCTACATTAAATGTTATTAGTCTACGACCACTACGCCTCAAGGTTTGCAACTCCAATCATCTTTCGTTATTCTAATATCATTTGCAACAAAACTTATTGGACCACGAATAATGTGGGAAACCTCGACGAGTGGTGACCTTTCATGAAGATATGAAAGGGTTTGGATAAGGATATTCGATAGTGATGTCCCACTTGTTGACATCCTTTGAAAGTACCACTTGAGACTTCGGTTGTCTAACCAGGTTTCCCAGCTGCCCAAAAACTCGGTGCGCCTGTAGATTCAATAAAGGAAAGTCACAAATTCTTTATCAGTGCTTAGAGATTTTATAACGATAGCGATAGGCGTGCCCTTTCCGTGTCGTCCCGCGCAGTAGTGACAGAGAGTTGGAGACATTCCCCTTCGATGACTTCACGCTAACAAATGAATCATTTGTTTTGAAAAGAGCAATGAAGGCACAACCGCACATTCCGACTTTGTCACAGGTACGAGAAGGAAACAGCGTAGGCTAAACGATCCGACTAGTTATTACCATCTTTCGCTAGAATTATCAGCAAATCTTGTGCCACGATAGATGGAACAAACTGAAATGTGCTGGAAATGCTTCTTCTGACACTCCCTGACAAACCGTTACTACTTTCCGATTGACCCAATCGAATGTAAGTTATTCAGCCCGGAACCCAACTGTGGTGCTGTTCAACTTCTGCTCTAACTCTTGACTATGCAGATGTCTGCTTTTATTTTTCATCCATAAGATCAAAGTGGCTCCGTAGCTCATCCAGAATAACTCCTCTATCCAATTTTTATGTTCTTAAACTTGTTTCCAGTGAGCTCTCTCATTCTCTTCTACGCATTCAGCTTCTCTAAGCGAGAATTCGTCAGCAACATCAAAGATGTGGCAGAGCACAATCTTTTCGATTCCTACTTTCGAAAGGTGGATGCTTCTCAATGCTGTACNGGAGTTTTTCCTCCAACGCTATTCACCAGCTCCTCGCTCATCTTGCCCCTTACCTTGATATCGCCCTCAATTCCTCTCGCGTCATCGATTGTTGTCTCCCGTTTGATTTGGTTTCCGATTTTGGACAGTTCTGGCGGCTCCATTGAACCACCGAAAACACGATGGGTCTTTTAACGGAGAGCATGCTCGAAGATCCGGTCATGATCAGGTTTATGACTGAAGTTTCTTCGTTATACGCCAGTAATCGACAAATTTCATGGTTAATCGATGTAAGTGAAGTCGATCAACTATATCGCATTAAATCAGCCTATGAGCGGTTACGCTCACTAGACAGTTTTTTGGTTGTGAGAGATGAGGAAGTGAGCGTGCTTTTTGAATCGACGAGAAAGTGTTGAAGTCATTAATGGCTGCTTTTTTTTAGGTGGAAGAGTATATGGCTCAACTGCCGAATCATATAGTACCGCGAGTGAACTCGAGTGGTGAAAAGCATCGTGAAAAGCAATTGCTCACTCAACTACCGCGACAGGATCTGTCCGTTGCCTATTGTAGGCATTTGGGCAGCAACACAGAACGAAAGGTAGCTCACAGTGACTTCACGACCGTTGTAGTAGCTTCCAACGTGTCCCATTTCAGGTTTACGAAGAGTTCATCAATGCTCGAAATGAAATCGCCCTCGATATCGGCTATGTGGCGGCGAATATTCCAAAGAGCATGGTAAGTGTGACGTCAAGTTGTGTCTCTGCTGATCACGTCTGTTGTCCCATGTCCAGAATATGAGAGCGCCCATATTCAGGAATGCCACAAGTGCTCAGGAGTGTTGGAACGGAACGAAATGGCTGTCATAGCTCCGAAGCTGGGCGATTCAACCGGCTGGCATCCCGCCTGTTTCACCTGCGCCACTTGCGAACAGGTAGATTCGTCGACTTGCTATGCGCTCATTTGGAGTGACCGTGAACGATGCCCTTTAAACCTTTTATGGCAGCTCATTCTTGAGTAAATGGGGAACTCTACGAATGCAAATGGGAGATATGAAGGGAATTTTCAGTCTTGCATTCCATGATTTTTATGAAAAGTTCAGCATTAACAAGTAGTACGTAAAAGGAGCGTCATTTCCCAAAATGAAGGTTGTCCCGAAATCAAAGGAATGAACTATCACGAAATTCCCTTTTCCTTTCTGCTTGTACGAATTGATCGATCGCCCGTGTGTGGTAGTCTGGAGCCCCTGAGCCGATCACAATCAATTTCTTCCAGTCTGTAGAGCACCACAAATTGCACTAAACCATCCAGAAATTAAGTGAGGTTGATACGGAAGCCTTATGAGAAATTTTCAAAAAGCAAGGGCCTTTTGATTCTCGATTATTACCCATGGTGTATCACGTGTCAGCTGCGGAAGATTTCTGGAGTTTCTTTGCAAACATAAAGTTAGTACCTCTACAATCGGTACTATTCACCTTCGCCCATGTGAAAGTCCTCGGTTTACCAGCAAATCGTGATTAATCTGGGTTACATTTACTGTGAGACGTTCACCACTGTCACCTAAGCCTCCAGCTTTCAAGCTCGCGACAGCTGTCCCAGAAAAAGCTAAAACGAACCTCGGCGCATCACTTCATTATGAAGCGAGATTCCTTATAATTGAAAAAAACCTGCCACATTCTCGAAGAGCTTAACTGGAACGCGCTAAACCGACCTTCTTTCATCTGACATGGCCCTCTGTGATTATCAGTAATTTCATCTGTTATTACCTCAGCTTCGTCGGATATGATCACCCCAATTCTGGGAGAAACTAATGCGGATCTAAACAATACGTGAGGCACTGCAGTGCGTGATTAAGCTGAGAATAATCCCCTTGCATGCTTATTGAAACTAACAAAGAACAAGGGTAACACAGAAATAACTGATACGTTTCTTGTCCCATTCATAGAGTGGTCCTTTCGAAAAGAAACATATTTACAATCCTCTCTGAATGAAATTCATGATCCTTTTTTTNTTTTTTTCCAAGAAAAAAGCTTTTTGAAGAATCCGGAAACGTCCCTGTCTGCTAGGATTTGAGCATTATCCAAGCATAGTTATTCTTAGTAACCTATCAAATTGATTTTCAATCGTATCTTTCAGCTTCTTGTCGATCTGACCTACTGTGTGAAGGACGATCAGATCTACTGCGAACGGCACTACGCAGAATTGCACAAACCACGATGCGCGGCTTGCGATGAGGTACGATACTCACTATTGGAATCAAAATCGCTGAGGGATCTGGTCTGTGATTAACAGCTGCTCGTCCAAATAACTGACTTCTGATAATTCCATAAAGAAGTCCATGTAGTCGAGAATTTGTAGTTCACTGCCAAATCGGCATTCGGACTGTGAACCCTCTTCATGGTTAGGCCTTCCGTAGCCTCACTGAACTTCCCAGAGAATTCATTAATGTGACGTCAAAAAGTAGCTCGAGTAGTCCATATCTATGTTTACATCGTTTGTGCTCGTTTTACTTTTGCCGGTGTAAACAAATGCGAGGGATTAGAAAGGGTCGTTGTGGTCCTCGGCATCAGCGCAATGTCGACAACGACATCTTATTGCGGAAGACCCACGAGCTCTCTGTGCGCTGTTATGTTCCTCTGCCGCTGAGGAATACTCAAGAGTTCATCCTTAGAAATGGCACCAATTCAGTCGTGGGGGTGACGGCATAAGCTATCCAACCGTAAGAGTTGTTTGTTTTCTAAAACGTCTGCCAAAATGCGTTCTTGTGTAGGGGGCAGTTGTCTCTGCCTTCAGGGAGCCAGCTGCAGAGCACGACGTTGTGGGTAGCTTTGGTCATCTTTCACTCGGTACATGTTCCCATGCTTCTTCTTCTTGAGCTATTAGTTATACTTTGTTTTTTGAGCTCTTTAGGGTTTTGTGTAGTGGCGGCTGTTTGTATGTTTAATGCTACGGATAGATAAGGACCAGTTCAGGTGCCGGGATGAGGTCCACCAGAAAAAAGGAAATCGTTAAGCAGTTTAGGTGAAAAAAATCACTTCATCGTTGAGGTTCCCTTTTACAGTCTCATTTTGTTTGCTGTTGGCCACTTTTCAAGAGGGGGTGCATGATGTGTAACGGATCCGTGGATCCTGCGAAAGACAGCGATGACTGTCTGGAAGTCTTCGTTTAGGAGTGCGCAACGCATACTCATGAAACTAACTTTTGTCCTCCATTGTAGACCTGGGTCACCTGAATTCTTCACAATTTTGAATTACCTTCTGTCCAAATTGGTAAATGATGAAGCTAAGGGGAATGGTGGTTTATGGTGAGTACATTTNTTCGGAGCACTTGTAGATAGCACTCGAGCTAAAAGCTTTCTCCCGCTTGACGTAAGAGGCTTGTGATTAGAATGTATCGGCACCGAACTGCGGGGCCCTAGCTCTGTACAATAGAAAAGGGCGCCGCTCTAAAAATCTTGTACTCTCCAAATGGGATCCGAATGTCCTCGGGGATGGCTCTGAAGCCTGCCTAACAAGCTGTAGACACGCATACACACGCCTACATCCCTTCAATTACTCGGATCCTCATTATTTTCTGTTCTCTTTGTCCTTTGGGTCTTATATAAGAAAACGAACATAGTTGCTGTTCAGAACCTGGTTCGACTTACACCTTCTGTTGTGTACGTTGCTAAATCCCAAAACCTACAAACTTGTTTTCCTCATTGAATGGCGTCATCGACATAAGTCCAAAGCGTCCGGTTTTCATAGTGCAGCTGAATTCCAGAAGTTGGTAGAAGACAGTTTGAAGGAGTTCAGCCATCAAAACAGCCGTCCACTTTGATTTTCCTCTTAATTCTCAGTTAGGACAAGATGCCAATGTGTTCAGAGTAGGCATGAAAGTCCGAAGTTGGGTTCTTTGACAATTTTTGATAACACCAATACATATACAAATTACCAGAAATACAGGCGGCGTTGATGATTATTTCTTTCATTATGGTCTCATTTATATAATCTAAGTCCTACGAGAGATTCTTTGTTAGTGAAATACTTTTATGGAATCTGGTCAACAGTGAAGTTCTTCCCATACGATTCGCAGTTTTCGGCGAATTTATGGTTAATGGGTTGTCGTTAAAATAAAGCAGCCAGATGAGCGATGGAGCTGCAATGCACAGTGGAGGGGTTAGTTATGAGGTTCTTCAGGAGTCGGGGTGAAATTCAAAGTCACCGTGAATGGTTCTGGCTACTTCGCAGGTTTCCTCGATATTCAATGGATGTGTTGAAATAGTGAAATTTTCAGTGGAGCTGTAAGGAGAATCATAGGTTGACGCTGACATTCTTTGGTAGAAAATGGGCCCAGTCCTTTGCGACCTGTCATTATCACGAACTGTCTTAAAGGTGTTCAGGTTTAATAGAATTACTCGAAGGGTGACGCGATTTGCTGGTACCGAGAGAAACCCATCGTGGTGGTAGCCCTTAAGAATGTTAGATAGCGCTGAGGATATCTAAATGAGTTTCGATGGTCCTCATTTTAGCTGTGGAACTGCTACTGCTGTCTTAGGAGCCTTGGCATTTCCGCGAAATTCGAACTACATAGAATTCATGTTTGGGAGATAAATCAAGTGGGAGCCTTCCTACTTCCATTTTCTCAGCAACTTGTTGGAATAGCCGTAGATCACCCTATGGTCGCTGTAGCTGAGCTCAAAGCAATAAATTGCAAGGTAATGTGGAGTCCGACGATACGCAGGCGATGTGGAAGTGGATTTCATTTTACACTCGGTGAAAACCCTTCGTTGGGCTACGATACAAAGAACTGAACTTTAGAAAATGTTACATCAATATCCCGCTAGTAACAAACAGCGGATTTCGTTGTGTTTCAACCATTCCCTGGGCTCAGCCGGCTGTCAATAACAACGACATGTGTCTGTCCGACGGCTAATTTTCATTGTGGTTCAACAAATCCGGCGAGAGCATTGATTCTTGGCGCAGTGGTGGCCCTTCCGGGGAGCATGGTTGCGCTGCCGCCGCGTGGCCGACGCCTCGGACCACAATCGCAAAGGCTTAGTTGGCTAGAACAGCTTCGCCGCTACCACTTTGACTAGCTTTTTCGGGAGTCACCAACTCGGTGCCCATTTCGTTTATGTTGTTGTTGACACTACCACGGTAATTCATTTCTCATTTGGTATGCATTTCATCTGGGATTTGCGGTTCAACCAAACTGTTTTGAGTCCTTTGTGCAAATCTATTTCATTTTGAAATGGAGAGGGACCACCTTCAGTTAGTATTCTTCGTTTGATTCCTCGAGAGGGTCTGACTCCAAAATAACCTTCTTGACCCTCTCTAAGTGCTGTTTCAAATCAATGAATCGAAAGAGCTTTGCGGGTATAATCCCAGCTGTAGCTGTCAATCTCTCTATGGCTTTCTATCTGCTTCTCTGTTTAAATTTCTGCTTTCGTTGAATTTCCGTCGTTGTTTCACTGAAACCCCAGCATCACTGTTTTCCTCTGGGTGTCAATTATACGCTGCAACTTTGCCCAGAACACTGCAATACCGCTGATGGTGGAAGTTCGGACAGTTGTCAGTTTTTTGGGCATGATTTCTTCAGAGGGTCTGACTCCAACATAGCTTTCCTAACGCTCATGACTTCTTGAGTTTTTTACGCCTTCTGTCGTATGTTCAACATCTATCGGTTACCAATTTTAATTGGGTTATACTTGATGAATAAGCATGGCTTGGAGCGGTTCAGGTTTTCACTTTGGATGTCTCCACTCCAGCTCAGAGTTGAGTTTTCCCTGGCACAGTATTTATTCCTCTGGCTCCAGGTGAATGATCCCAATTCGTTTTGGCTCCTTTTGCATCTTAGGATCTCATGAAAGCCTTTGCAAAAAGGTTTTTTACTGGAGCTTGAACATGCAATTGATTTTCTTGCAAACTACAAGATTCAGTAAGATTTGCCTGACTGTTGGAACCACAATCAGCTGCTAGGCACAGCCTAGGAGGCGATGAAAGGAAGGGAAATGCTGGTGTAGAAAATGTCAGTAATATAATTGCGTTTGCCACGCCTTTGGTGGGCTATGAAGTGATTGCCTCTTTCGAAACTGGGCTCTCAATTTTTTTCTGGACTTTACGAGAATTGGAAGGGTCTGTTAAGCATTGAAATTCTCTGAATCAATCTCTCACTCGCACACATATGTTCATAGGTCTCCTGGGACCATGGCCGTTCCGTCACAGTCGGCATTCTGCCAGCAAACCAGACGGGCCAGTTGAACGAATGAGCCTTCCATGGCGCCCAAGTCGATGCCCCGACGCCATTACACACCGCTCCCCGCCCCCACTGCCGCGAGTTGCTCGCAGCGGCTACATCTCATCATATCTTTCCTGATAATCAATTCGGCTCTCGGGTCATGAAACACCTCCAGAGGCAGCTGCCAGCTGGATTGGCAATGAAGTTTTTGCCTTCGGGATGCTTTCCTATACTCATAACTTTTTCCTTTTTTTGTTAAAATGTATTCACGTTTGGGCTACTTTTCGATTAAACTGAATGGTGCTCTTTCGTTGGTTTTGCTTTTTCAATGGATTTGACTGTCTGAACGCCAAGTATCCGAACTAGTCACTGATCGGCTGTGATCGACGCGGTCAGGGAATATCTTCGATTTACGCTGATTACGATAGGAATGGGAACACATCTCTTTTTTCAACCTCAATGTGAATGGTTAAATATTCCGTCTTTTCTTTTTCCCTCTCCATCAATTGCATTTTCTGATTGTTTTTCTTCCTTTTCAAACTTCAAACCACTGGAAAAGGCTGTCGAGTCGCATTTTGCCATCTTTGTGCGCTGCACTGTGCCTGTAACTTTCACTCAACGCAAAAAACTTTTCAACTCGACTTTGAGGGCTGCAGATGTCTTGCAAAGACACTTGATGAGCAAGTCTAAGCCCNGAAAATACGGATGACGTTTCATGCCAAAACTGACAGAAGTGATGCTTCGCTTCATATGGGCAGCGAACAGATTTTTCAGCTCTTAGCAAAGAATGAAAGCATGGAATTTGACCATTTTCTGATTCCGCGCAGTCGATGATACATGGTAAACGGTGGTTCATTGAATGAAGAGTTCTAGATTCTTTACGAGCTTCCTGATCTGATCTTGTGACTTCCCTCAGAGTCGCTTCTACAGTGGACCGACTAGTTGAAGGGTTCCCAGAGAAGGTTTAGTTCAAAAGTTTGGTTAATGTACATAGGACTCCTTATCGTTGTTCTTCTTTAACAGCGTCATTTTCTTTATATCCATCACCTTTCTTTTCTTTGAGTGGCATC